TTGGAAGCTGACTGGTTGTTATGGGCAAAAAGAAATGTTTCCATTAGCACAGTTTACATAACCAGTCAGGTTTACCTTTCATTCTATATCATACACACAAACAATGACCATGACTGGCTGCTACGGGCAACATTTACATTTTTCAGATGGATGCAAAAAGTAAAAGGAACGACTTTTATAGTACACAGTAGGAAACACATATGTGTAGGCACTATACAGTATATACACGCTTAGATATCTATGAGCTACTACACTGGCCATAAGATTTCTAATTGTTTTCTGTCAATCTTCCGATTCACACACCCTGTTCACCCTGTACAGCCAGGTAGATTAAAAAAAACATATTAACTAGCTTTTCAGCTTCTGTGTCACCTACCTGTTTACTGAACTGTGAAAACTGTAGCACTGCACTGCTAGATCGCAGTCCAATGAGCAGCAAGTGATATAAGAATCTGCAAATCTAACAGTGAATAATGGCATCAACTGCCCCTCTATGTAAAGGTGTGTGTAATTGCAAGACTGGCTGAAGAGAATTTTAAATCCTTTAACAGGTAAGATAGTTCCTATTAATAAATTGCAGTGGTGTTCTGTACTGTGCTGACCGTCTGGCTTGACCCCTGGCTTGTTTTACTTTAATTGTTATGCGTGGTCTCCAAATATACTTCTACAGGTCCCTGTGCTAGCTAAGTGATGGGGAATGACATTTATGTCTTTGCACTACATAGTCTCTCCACCAAATATATTTCCCACTAGTATACATGTGAAAAGCCGCCCGACCAAGCACAATCTTTACTAGTCATAATGTGAAGTGCTGCTCCACCAAGCACTATTCTCGCAAGTCATAAAGCGAGGAGCTGCTCCACCAAGCATAATTCTCGCAAGTTGTAAGGCCATAGCCGGGAGCTCGCCCACTACTACGCATGCGTGGGTCCCAGTCTTCCGGGTTGCCGGAAAAAATGCGTTAGCACGCATGCGCACACAACGGAATGTGGCACACAGGACGTGACACAGTGGAGCACAGGAAATGAC